GGAGGCTGAGGCAGGAGGATCGCTTGAGCCCAGGAGTCTGAGGTTGCTGTGAGCTAGGCTGACGCCATGGCACTCACTCTAGCCAGGGCAACAAAGTGAGACTCTGTCTCAAAAAACAAACAAACAAACAAACAAACATAGTCTGCTATTTATGGTTGACACTTAGAGTAGTTGTTGACTAATGAAAAATATTTTAGAAAAGAAAATGCTAATTCTCTAAGAGTATTGTTTTACTTATTTGTGCCAAAAACATTTAACTATTAAGAGCCAGGTAGAAAGAATCATGTAGTCTCTTTCTCTTTTTTTATTTTTATTTTTTGAGACAGGGTCTGGCTCTGTTACACAGACTAGAGTGCCGTGGCGTCATCCTAGCTCACAGCAACCTCAAACTCCTGGGCTCAAGTGATCCTCCTGCCTCAGCCTCCCGAGTAGCTGGGACTACTGGCTTGTGCCACCATGCCTGGCTAATTTTTCTATTCTTTGTAGAGATGGGGTTTCACTGTGTTGCTCAGGCTGGTCTCGAATTCCTGGCCTCTAGCAGTCTTCCCCCTTGGCCTTCTAAAGTGTTGGCATTACAGGTGTGAGCCAGTGTGCCTGGAAGACATCAGGAAGACATGATCTCTCCCATGAGGTGGTTACAGAAAGGTGAGAACAACATTAAAGCCCAGTACAGAGTGTTAAGTGCTATTGTCAAGATGTGAACAGAGATAGGGGCACACCAAGGCTGTTTGTGTGGGAGTAGTGAAGGCCTCATCTAATAAGGTTTTGTATGGAATCTAAAATATTAAATCAATCAACCTTTCTTTCTTTCTTCTCTTTCTCTTTCTTTCTTTTGGAAGAAAGCAAGGCTGGATAAGTTAAATGACTTCATTAAACGCAACATCTAGTTAGAGAAAGAGTATGAATAAGGTGAAGAGCATGTTCCTTGAGTCAGGCAGACCTGGTTTCTAACCATGTCTTAAGTGGTTCTGTGACCTTAGGCAAGTGCTTGAATGCCTCTCAGCCTCAGTTTATCTGTGAAACACACAATTATATCTATTTTGTATGTAGCCATCAGCATAGAGTTTATCACATAGTAAGGGTTCAACATAATTTTCCTTTACCCTTTCTCATAGCACAAGGCACTGTGATAGAAGTGAAAAAGAAATCAGAGGTCAAAGAGAAAGGAAGGTCAGCTGGCCCCTCAAGCAGGGCCTCTCAGGGTGCCAGGATTATGGTGGGGTCCCTATTATCTGCATTTTGTTCTCAGTCCTGTAAGTCTGAAAAGTTGACACTTATCAGAACATCCAGAATTGATTGGCTTCTTGGGGAGGGACCCATGCTAATAAAATACACAAGAAATTTATGAATAGTCCAGAATGCAAATTCATTAACTTCCAGCAATAGACATATATTTCTATAACTGGCTCTCCTCAGTCTCATATTTTTATCTTGAAATAAAATAATCAGAAAGTTATTACTTGAGCACAAAATCTGAGTAAAGAGACTTGTATGGTCTTCAGAAATACTTCACTCAGGCTGTGAGAAAAGGCTAATGCTTTCATAACCAAGGACTCTTCTCTAGTAACCCAAACCTTTTGGTCTACCAGATTTATGCTCTTCATATTGGAGAAACACAACATATTCCTACAATAATTACAACCTGTTTAGACTCAATGAGGACCACACCTTTCTGTTAACACATTCATCTTCTCAAATGATACAATATAATAGATTGGGTTAGAACTATTTTCTGTTATATTCTACTACTGAGGAAACGCTCCCATCACCTCCAACTGGACTTGGGTGTCTCCCAAATCTGTAAGTTTTCTTACCAGGAGTAATCTCTACACATAGGTGATATCAACTAATTTAACTCTCACAGATCAACAGATTCCCTCCATTTTCTGGAGATAATACATCACAGACTTGTTTGTACTAGTCTCAGTTATCTGTATACCCATTGCCCAATAAGAGCAAGCACCCAATAAATGTCGGTTGAATAAAAGGTAAGGTCAAAAGAAAATCAGAGAAGGGCTCAATGAATAGAATTTGAGTCTATTCTTTTCTCTATAGCACTCTACTTCCTGTCTCTATGGGACACTAAGGAAAGGGTGAAAATGGTGTGGGGAATGTAGAACTCCTACGGCTGGGAAGTTGGGGAGGAAGAAACAGAAGAGCTTTCAGGAAAGGAAGGCGGGTGGAGGATCCTGCAAACGATTAGTACCGTTGAGGGGCTGGTGCTGAAATCTAAAGGACCAAAGATGCGGTAAACAAAGGGAGCATGCAGAAAAAACCTGAAGAAACGTTAAGGAAGGAACTGACTGGATATGCTGTTGAGACGAAGGGAAGAGTAGAGTAGATTCTGGCTTAGGTACCTGGAAGTTTGTTGGTGCAATTCAGGGAAAGAAGGCAAAGAGGGGAGGGTGGGGGTTGTTTGCATGAGTTTGCGTCTGGATAGGGTGAGGTTGCATTTGAGGTGCCTGTTGGGACAAATGGATAGAGGTATCCAGTAAACAATCAAGTATAAGGGTATGAGCTTCTGAAACAGATCTGGACGTTAGTTTAAAGCAGGGAAGTGAGTAAGACTCTTCGGGAAGAGTGAAAAATTGGAGATACGGAAGCAGAGTCCAGCTGGACTCGCCGATATAGGGATGAGCAGAGGAACGTGAGCAGGGTAAGGAAAGTCGGAGAGGTCAGAAAAAAAACGGAGCGCGACATTTTGAAAGAAAAGGGAGCAAATTTCAAGGTGATATCGGACGCCTCCTGGAGGTCAAAAGGAGGATGACGAACCTAGCCTTAGTCAAACCGATTCCGAAGAGCGCAGGCGGGTGGCGTGCGGCGAAGCCCCACTGCAGCCAGCGACTAAACTGAGGAGAAAGGAGGCGGTCTTAGTAGTACACATATTTTTTAAGGGAGTTTGGCTGTGACCAGGCAGAAAGAGCGGGACTTGGAGGGTAATTTAGGGCTAAAGGCGATAATCGGCTTCACAATCCCATACCCTTGAGTGGGAGTAACTTTCCATCTGCTTGATGTCCTCTGCAGTCCTTCACGGTCCTCGGGATTTCCCTGCTCTAAGCTAGGAAAAAACAAAACAAAACAAAACACCTTATGAAGTGCCAACAAGCAAAAAAGAAACCGTTTCACTTGAAAGCCTTCTCTCTTTAAAATTTCTGGCATGCAAATAAGAGGTTTTAATGTGGCTCTCAGCGATTGGTAGCTACTCATAAAACCCGTCATTTCCTTTTAGTGCAGGATGCAAACCAAGAGTCTGCTTTCTGCTTTGCTATTGGCTGTTTGATCTGGCTTGGCTTTTAGCCAATCAAACCAGTTCCCTCACCCCTCCCCGTAGCTCTTATAAATTACATCAAATTGGTTATCCTTTCCACATCCTTCTCCTTGAAAAAGAAGCTGTAACTGCATTTTTAGCCGTAATGTCAGGACGCGGAAAACAGGGAGGCAAAGCTCGCGCCAAGGCCAAGTCGCGCTCGTCCCGCGCTGGCCTTCAGTTCCCGGTGGGGCGAGTGCACCGCTTGCTGCGCAAAGGCAACTACGCCGAGCGGGTGGGGGCCGGCGCGCCGGTGTACTTGGCGGCTGTGATCGAATACCTGACGGCGGAAATTCTGGAGCTGGCGGGGAACGCGGCCCGAGACAACAAGAAGACGCGCATCATCCCTCGACATCTGCAACTAGCCGTGAGGAATGACGAAGAGCTCAACAAGTTACTTGGGGGTGTCACCATTGCCCAGGGCGGCGTCTTGCCCAATATCCAGGCTGTCCTGTTGCCTAAGAAAACGGAGAGTCACAAGCCTGGCAAGAACAAGTAATAATTAGGAGGCTTGACACCATACCCATTCCCCCCAAAGGCTCTTTTAAGAGCCACCAAAATGTCAAATGAAGGGCTTATCACAAAACAGCGCATTAGCTCTTTTTTTGAAAACTTGGGTGGCTCTAAAAAGAGCCTTTGGTCTTTGGTTTAGTTTGTCTGGGTTTATTTGCTTTTAGTTTTGTGGCTTTCAGTTTTCTTTGGTAACAGAACGGCCTGGATGTTAGGCAAAACGCCGCCCTGGGCGATGGTGACCTTGCCCAGCAGCTTGTTCAGCTCCTCGTCGTTGCGGATGGCCAGCTGGAGGTGACGGGGGATGATTCGCGTCTTCTTGTTGTCTCGGGCCGCGTTGCCCGCCAGCTCCAGGATTTCCGCGGTCAAGTACTCGAGGACCGCCGCCATGTAGACGGGCGCGCCGGCCCCCACCCGCTCGGCGTAGTTGCCTTTGCGCAGCAAGCGGTGCACTCGCCCCACCGGGAACTGAAGGCCAGCGCGGGACGAGCGCGACTTGGCCTTGGCGCGGGCTTTGCCTCCCTGCTTTCCGCGGCCAGACATAATTGATACCAAGGTTACACAGGCAAAGCTCAGAACCTCACAACAAAACAAGATTGAAAGCGAACCAAGAGGGAAGCCTTTATAAGCTCTTCTAGGGGTGGGGTCAGGAACGAGTTTTCCATTGGTCCTAATTTGGCTCCAGAAACAGCCAATCAGATCAAGAGTTGGTGCTGTTACGTAGGTATCGCTGAAAACGCACGGTCCCTACATGGACCAATAGAAATGAAAGACGTTTGGAGCCCTAATTTGCATAAGGTGGTTATAAAAGGATCAGGCCCGCCCATTCTCATACTTCTTTTCTTTGCTAAGCTGTGTTTGTGTTGCGTGTTATATCATGCCTGAACCGGCAAAATCCGCTCCGGCTCCCAAGAAGGGCTCCAAGAAAGCCGTTACCAAAGCTCAGAAGAAAGATGGAAAGAAGCGCAAGCGCAGCCGCAAGGAGAGCTACTCCATCTACGTGTACAAGGTGCTGAAGCAGGTCCACCCGGACACTGGCATCTCGTCCAAGGCCATGGGCATCATGAACTCGTTCGTCAACGACATCTTCGAGCGCATCGCTGGCGAAGCGTCCCGCCTGGCGCATTACAACAAGCGCTCCACCATCACGTCCCGCGAGATCCAGACGGCCGTGCGCCTGCTGCTGCCCGGCGAGCTGGCCAAGCACGCCGTGTCCGAGGGCACCAAGGCGGTCACCAAGTACACCAGCTCCAAGTGAGTCCCTGCTGGGACGCGGCGCTCGCTCGCGCGAGTGGCCGGCCTCTTGATTCCAAAGGCTCTTTTCAGAGCCACCCACCTAATCACCAGAAAAGAGCTTTATTCACTTGTGTACCTCTTAGTTCCTTCTCACAAAGGTATTCTAGTTGAACACGTTGCTTTTTAATGATTTGGAATTCGAGGTTTTAGGCACAGGATTGGATTTGCTTTTGAGTCTATAGTGAGTCTTTATTCTTTATTGTACTGCTTAGCTTTCATAGGAATTTGTTCTAAATTAGGATGTTTTTTGTACTGCCCTCCTCCACCCCCCGCCCCACACTGTCGGTGTCCTGTTGGCTTTTGTTGGGTATGTTTTATTTTAAAAACGAAGTGGCAATTCAGTCATAATGTAAGAGAGGACTCCAGGGCATAACTAGACCCGGGTCCCGCGAACACTGCGTGACAGCTCTGTAAGGCTGAAGCTTGGCGGCAGCTTGTGTATCGGGTCACCAGTTCTGTGCTGCGAGGAGCGTCCTGTGGATACCAGCGGTTCTGTGTACTTTGGAATGAGCCCGCGTAGCCGGGTCCTAGCCTTTTTCTGATTGGACAACATAAATATTCAAAATTCTTCGCTGCTTCATAATTCGTGGATTTCAGTTTCCGCCGTTCACTTTGGGGCTTTGAAATCCCTAACATTTCTCGGTTTGTGGGGATAATTTTTGCATTTAATGCTCTCTCCTTGTAATGCTCCGGCCCCAGGTCACTGCAAGGCTCTTGCCACTTAACTTAGATCTGGGCTCAAAAGTCACCTTTCAGGGGCCTTCCCACGTCATCCACTCAGGAATTCGCGCCTCTAGTTGCTGCCTGTTTAGTTGCTGCCTTTTCCTCCTAGCAACTGTCTGAAACTGTCTGATTCGTTTGCTTTCTTGTTGATGGGTTTTTTTTTTTATTGGAATACCTGGTTTATTGGGAAAAATTCATAATGAAAACTTCAAGTGCTTATTCTGCAACTTACAAAATAAAAATTTGATATATAAAGTGAGTTGGTTTTCATTATGTAAGTATAAATGGTAAAAAAAAAAAATCATCTGATATATATGTGCCATTCAGAGAGACTCACATCCCTGAATTCTCCTTTTGCATGTTTTGCATCAGACATTTTAAATTTGTTTACCCAGGAAGACCAGGTTTTTAACTACTTGTAGGTTTCTGCTTATAGTAGCAATCTATCAGAAGCTGTGTCTATGTGATTTAGAGCCCAGTTAAACCTGATATTTAAAAAAATCAAGCCGTTTCTTCCTAGGGTGTTTTAATGGCACTTTAGTGATAGGAATGGCTTTCCTAATCCTTTACTACACAACTAATCAGATCTATCAGTCATGAGAAATTAGACCTCGTCCATCTTTCAATCCT